CCGATTCCTCTAATAAGATTTACCGCTTGGATATAATACTCCCTCTTCAATTTTCAATAATGATAAGGGAAATTAAAGCACTCAGTCTTTCCTCATTTGAATTGAGGAAGATATAAGAAAGACAGATCTTAAGATTTCCGCTGTAACAGATTGCACTCGGGGTCCGCTAGGCGTGGTAACAACTTTCTACTAGACCACCGAGGTGGAAATTAAAACTATCTGTAAATCTATAGCGAATGGCGAATGAACTCTAGTTTATGGTGTAATATACCTAATCGGCTAAATTGCATGGTGATGTCACGTGATCTGAAAATGGGTACATGCGAAGCGAAATGTTTGTTTGGATCTGGTGGTTTACTTTCAAACGCGATGCCTTACTCTTGCTGAGCTTTCATTTCACAGTCTATCAATTCATTGCAAGCCTTTAATGTCTCAATAGATTGCAAAAACGAAAAGAGATCCAGACCATTTCAATGTAAGTGTATAGTACACACGACAATTTCAAGTGCGCACTTCCGATCTGAAGGTTTCATCCATCTGTTTCAGTTATCCCTGTCCTGGTATATGACCGTAGAGGTCATATGGAAGATATATTCCTCTATAGGGACTGACATTCTAACTACCTCAGCAAACTGTAATCATCAAAATTACAGGCCAAGTCATATTTACTGAGTGCTCAAGTTTCCCAATGAATCACCTTTGTTACAGCCGAGGAGTTCACTTCTTTTCAGAGTTATCTTCAGCTGGACCATCCTGTTCCATGTGAAAACATCAAATGTTTCTCACTTATTCAAATAATTAATTGAATCAAGTAACTAGTCCTTTATAACCTGCTTTCTTCAATTGTGCTCCAGAAACAGTAAATGATATGTAGAGAGAGGAATAAAGTTATCAAAACATTATATTTTAAAAGAAAATTAATTATGGAGGTTAGTAGTGACGAAGACATCTGTAAAGCAATAATTACAATTACTTTTTCATGTCAACAAACCATGATAAAGCATAAAAAAGCAAAAAATATATTTCTCCCTGTTTGAATTTAAATCCAAAATCTAATTAACTTCCAACTGAATAGGAAACACCTCAATGTCTTATTCCTTCTACTACCATGCATTCTCAACATCACAAACCAATCCCAAAACAAAATCCCTTCAAATTTTATAATCAATTGGTTATGCCTAGCGTGCGTATATCGAGTTACGGATGCAAGCGGGAAGTTTGGAGAGCACGAGAGAGGCTTAGAAGTTTGGCACAGTCCCTTTTCATTTTGAGCTCCAAAAGATCTATCTCAAAGTTTGAGATTATAAAAAAAATTTAACAGTGTTGTTTACGGTAAGAATTTTAAGAGGGTTTATATAATTCACTTCCTTATCTCTTCCAGCTTTAAAAATGTTTACACATTGAAAACTCGATTTAACGAAGTGCCAAGGGACTGGGAAATTTGTTAGTTACATCGAGGGTGATCTAGGGTTGATTTAACGAATTTGCGAAAAAACAACCAAAATGTTATATCGAGGGATGGTTAATAGGATTTTTTTGCTTTGTTTTGTTTTCGCGCTACCCAGCATTTTGGGATCGGAACAATTACTGCAAATAGCAGAGGGGCATTTTGTTGCGCATGCTCCGTAAATTTTAATTTGATGCGAAAAACCGCTGGTATGTGCCTGCGTCGGTTTTCAGCTCAGGAATCGCGAAAGAAAAGAGGCAGGAAGATACGTTGGAAAACAACAATGGATCGAGTATTTGAGACAACTCTTCTTGTAAATTTTCCCTCTGTAACCTAGATGGAAGCGGCAAAGTCTTAAAATAGTTGTGTGGTAAATGGAAGGAAGTTATTTTCAAAAAAGAAAAGATTGTACAAACGACTTTGAGTCTTTTCTTGTGATTTTTTGGGCGATCGATGAAGATGACGTTATTTTTGAAGAATGCAGAAGGCCTTTCGAAGAGTACTTATAAATTGGATGGTATACTTTTATCGTCCCGTTGCTATCTCAAGTTTTTATTAATCATTTGAAGTACTCACTTTCCTGTGAGCGTTTTTTAGAGCTCCAACTGTACTGCTAATGGAATGTACCCCGTACATTGCAAAAGAGCAGTCCCCTTTGGGATAGCTTTAAGGATCAAACGCAATTGTTCTACTGACGACTTTTTACAAAATAGATGTAAGGAATACAAAGCGTATTTGAAATCGCAAAATTATCCAGCGGAGCTTGTCGATAAACAGTTCGACAAAGCTCTTAGTATACCAAGAGCCGAACTTTTGAGGAGAAAGGTCAAGCCAGCAAAAAAAAAAAAATTCCATTTGTCCTAGACTACAATCCAATTTTGCGGGACATCCAAAAAGTTATTAAAAAGCACTTTTATCTATTACAACCCTCACCAGAAGTCAAAGAAATTTTTCCATCCAAGTCGATATTTGCCGCTTATCGTAGAACCAAAATTCTCAAGGAGATGTTGGCGCCATCAAAATTTCGGCTAACCTCCAGTAGAAATCAAAGAGAAGAAAACAGAGGTTGTTCAAAATGCGACATGAAGTATTTTATTTTAATTTTACTCCATTATCATTTTTGATATTTGTTTATTCCTGAGTTCAAGGGCTCTTTTCAGGGATTCTGTTATGTTTTTCACCAGTTTTTCATTAAAAAAGGGGGCCTTGGAGGGGGGGTTATTGCTACGGTTTGATGGCTCTTTCCTGGGATCCTGTTGTGATTTTTACTTGATTACATTCATTCAGAGGCCTTCAATGAGGAGCTTGTTACTCCGGAGAAAACACAACTAATTAAGTTAGATTCTTTTTTTTTTTTTCCTCTAGTTTTTGTCACTTGTTTGTATTCACCTTATTTGTATTCACATTTCATCCATAGTTCTTTCTTTGCCTTTCATCGTTTAACCCTTCTCAGTTTGTAATTTAGACCTTTGTTGTATTACGTAACCTCAATCTTAAAATTTCTGTTTTGTATATAAGTCGCAATCATTGTAAATAGCTTTTTAGTTTTTAATTTTTAACCTGAAGAAGGCCAAACGGCCGAAACATCGCCAAAAAACTCGTCCAGAACAGTCAAGAGTTGGTCTCTTCGTTACGTCCTTATAGTACACTTAACTACAAATTCACGTCGAGACGTTGTATCCTGTGGATTTTCTTACTGGGAGTTCATCGTTAGGTATACCAATTTGACGCTGCTTAGATATATCTATTCAAAACCTGAATTATGAAGTCAACTTAATTTCAATGAGTTTTTTTTCGACAAAAGAAAACTTGAATGGAGTATAATGAAGTTGTTTATTTTCTCTCTTTCTCATACACGTGACTACGTGTGTCTTGAGAAAGACAATTTATTTATATTATAATCATCAAAATATTCTTATAATTTCAAATACAAAAAAACAATCTGGTGTATACGTTATACCACTTTACAAGGAAAAAAAGCGATACCGTTTACGAATTCTGAAACATTAAGACCCCGTCCACACGAATCCGTTTTCAAAAAGAATTAACAGCATCAAAAACATATATATATGCTCTCGTCCGCTATATTGATTTGAATTTAGGACGGGGGCCTGTAAAAGAGGTTGCACGACGCTATCAGCCGACGTTGGCTGTTTACCTGAAAGACTTATTCTGTCGGTTAGGACAAAGCCAATTATCGAGAAATTGTGAATTGAAAATTACGCCCATTGTTGTTTTTGCAATTATGATTCAACGTATTTTTCCATCTTGAGCCTTAGGGGCAACGCACTGTACGATTGTTATTCGCGGATTGTCGATTCTTTTCTTTTCATTAATTAATAAAGTCGCCTTTTCTTGTCACTAGAGGGCTATAATTGTGATAAAGTTGAGGCAGTAAAGGGTCAACAGCACTTTTTTTCGCTTCAACTCTGCTAGGATAAACTACTAGGTGGTGAACTGGCGATGTTGAGATTGACTTGGTGGCGAACTCGCTGGGGGCGAGTCTTCCTTGTGGCGAGATGACTGTGTACCGCCAATGGATTTAGAGACTTTCTTTCTTTCTTTCTTTTCTTTTGCAGTATGCTGTTTCCAGGAAAGGTTTTCATCGAGGGTCACTCCTGATAATATCACATCCTTTATTTGTTCAATAGTACATTAATGTTAAGGTCTTGCCTTTTCTGCCCGAGCTTAAAAACCCTAAATTTAGATTTTGAGTTATCAGCTTCGCACCAAGCTATCAGTTTCATGAGCTCCGCGTATATCACGTGACTGTATGTTCGTGCGTACAAGTCTCTACATTAAGCAAGTGCCACCAATTGCATTGCAGGCACAATAATTTATATATAGAAGTTGACAGAGAAGGTAGTATGCACAGTGATCTTATGGTGTGAAGGGTTAATGATTGACTGCATAATTCCATCTCTGCAGTTCGCAGAGAAAACAGAAAGTACCAAATCAGTGCTTTCTATTCTTGTAATCAGTGGGTTAAATGGCGACATGCACTCGTGAAAACATGCTACTTACCGATCAATTAAACTCGCGAATTTTCCATTTGAACATAAGAGTCAAAAGAATAAATTATCCCCGTCAGCAACTTAGGAAATGTTTTTAAAAAAGTATGGAGAATAGGTATACTGATGTAACGGTGCAAAAGGTTAATGACTGATTGGATGATTGCAATCTGCAGAGGAAACAGAAAGTATTAGTTCAATGCTTTATTTCATGCGATCATCGGGGTAAATTGTGACCATGACTCGTGAAAAAAGACACGTCGAGAAGTTATAATACAATGACTTGAACTTGTGTTGAGCGAGACTAGAAAGGCTGACATTGATTAACTCTTTTGCTCAGATTCTTTTGTGAAAAAAAAAATCTTCCAATCACTCATACCTGACTAACAATTTTTTTTTAACTTTAAGTGACTGGAAACAGTTTTTCTACGCTTTGATCGACCTTATTCAATGCGCTCAAGACCAAAGTTAGCCCTTTACAGTCACATGTGTTTCGAAATAGTGGGGGTTTCAAGACAATCGTTTTTCGGGTTTGATTCTTTTTACCCCTGAATCTCACGCTTCAATTTGCAATGAGAGTCAATGTTATCCTTCGCTGCCTCAAAAGAGTTTCTTGAGTTGCGATCGATTAAACTCAAGTATTTTCCATTGTCTGCTTGCAATGCTACGGTTCCATCTGGTTGATCATGTACTGTAAACTGGCTGAAAGTATCAGGATATGTCTTGGCAGCTTCGATGTAATCGACATTTGCACGTCTTACTCTCGACAAATACTTCCCATTGTCTGCTGTAAGCATTAGCTTACCATTGGACTCCGTGGCTACAAATCTCGTGGTACTATCCTTCTGACTTTTTGCCATCTCAATGTAATCAATGCCCGATCGGTGTTTACGACTGAGATACTTGCCATTGTAACCTTTCAAGGCTACACCAACTGGCCAAAATCCATCCAGGCTAAGAGTGACATCTAAGATGGTATATAGAGCAAAAGAAAGATTATTCTAAAACCTTGTTTTTACTAAGCGGCAGTGGGCCTACAATCACGGGGCGTAGCCAGGGGAACGTTCAAGATGGAAGCAAGCTAAAGAGCGAGAGACTGGAGCAGGGCAATCCTCTCGTGAAAACTGCAAAATTCTATGTTTCTTTTCTTTTTTTGCTATCTTCTTGATACCGTAAAGTAAAATTGACCCAAGGGTTTACTCACTTTGCTCGCAAGATTTCCCTCTGAAACCCGCTGCACAGACGCACGTGGAATCATTACCACACTCTCGAGCTCCGTGCACCGGTTGCCAGGTCCCTCCGTTCTTACATGGGTTATTAAAACAGGAAAGCTATATACAAATAAATACAAATTATTTGAACTATTCTTTTAAGCGATTCAAGGCAATATGGAATCTAAATTAAAGTTGATGATCTTTTATCAAAAACTGAGAAATGATGGTAGGCTACAATAATCCGATAATGATATCTCGGAATTCACAAAATACCCCCCAAAAAAATCTTGTTTTTATGGCTACTGGACAGCCAGAATATGAGTAAGTAAGTGACATTGAGTGATTTTTCGTGAAGCAATCGCCGGCTCAACGACTTTTTACGATCTGATGTTAATCACGAGCCGTGGGAATTCATTGGTCGATTGATTTCATTCAATTATCTTGTGTAAACATTAGCAGCTGAATGCATCAGTAATTGAACACGTCTGCAAGCGGCGGTAATTCTGGGGTTTTTCTAAAAAGTAAAATTCGAGGAATTCACTGCCTCATATTTTTAATTTCACTTAGTAAAGAAAAAAAATTGCGATCACAAAAACAATGCTTTCTTCTATCGGACTCAATTGCAAGAGACTGAGAGATTTGTTTCTAATTGCCAGCAGAAGAAAACTCTGTAACCAAAGATCATGACGTTATGATGCAAATACTTAAAATTAAGCAACTGTGAGTCAAAACAGTGATGTACGAATGGAAATCGATAGAATCTGACCAGGCAAAGAACGGTTTGGATCGTCGCGTCAAAATCAATTAGTACCATTGTTTCCTCTGAAAAATATGTTGATGAAGCCAGTTCAAGTGATTATAACCTGATTTCTTGGCCAGTTACCATACACTGCATGCGGTGAAGGTGTTATGTTTCAAAACAAGTGAAATTCTAGTATTTCATTAACAGCTATAACAATTGTAATACAAAGCTGAGGAGGAGATGTACAAGTTATTTATTTTTGGAGAGAGAGTTAGGATTACCTCGACACAATAATAATGCGAACTTTTGTTTGCTTTCAACTTGTCGACGTTTCTGTATTTATCAGAAGACAGCAACTCACACCAAAGCTTTCCATCTCTTCCTTTAGACGGGGACATGTTTACAGAAAGGCACAAATGACTCCTGCAGCATTTAAACAGGCACTCCATTTCGTTCATTACGGTGATCATCCCAACATGAGGAACATTAAGATGATAATGCTTGGTTTTTGAAAAGAGCCGTTCTCCAAAATTCCCCCCTAAAATAGAAATTCCTATTTTAAAGGTGACAACGAAGAATCAGAAAAGTATGGTAACCCATCAACATCCTGTTTAAAATTGTTTAATTCAAGATGCAAGTGATACTAAAGTATCAGCATCAATAGAATTACTAACCTGAGGAACAGTTTAAGATGATTGTCAAAATGTAAAAAAACAAGCAGGCATAGCACTTATTTTCTCTGAGCATGATTGGACTCAAGCTTCCTTTGGAAAACCGCCACCTCCTTGGATATGCTTGGATCACGAAAGAAGAGGCTGCTACACGATCTGTAAGAATACAATGTTTGAACAATAGAGAGCACTTTCCGTCGGCTTAGCGGCGTACTAACCCACGCAGGATGTTGGGAGAAAATCAAAAAGGTACGTAGACAGAGGCAGGTGATTAACAAACTTTTCGAGTGTTCTCCTAACATCCCAAATAGGTTATTATTATGCCGATAAACCAACAGAAAATAAGCTTTATTCCTTTTATGAAATAAACTAATGCGAAACACATTATTTCTCGGCGAAAATTTGTTTTTATAACCTGACCAAGTTAATTCTTCTCTTTACATTCAACAACTTACGCGCGAGGACCAATCGTAAAAATTTTACCATCTTAATCAAGCCGAAGAAATAAGCTAGCGCCGAATTTTCTCAAACTTTTCCATAAAACGTGAAAGAGGATAGCAAAAACCAAAGTTTTCACCGCTTTCTTTGAAAAAGCAATGTTTTAACAGAAAAGACATTGCTCATTCATGGGTAGTAATTGTGGATGTGTGCATAAATTGAAAATCTGAGTGAACGCAGCTGTGTTTTGTTATGTGGGAAAATTGATGGACGGAACTTGCAACAGTGTTATAGCGGACGCCTGCTTGTGTTACCCGCAGCTAGTAGATCTGCAGTTGCCTGGTCATCACCAAGAGCTACTGTAAGGGCCTTACTGCGGATGCAAAGCTGTTTTACGGAAAGCATATTGTCATTAGGTGGTGGCCTACGACCGCGGTGCACTATTTTCACACGTTTCCAACATGGCGGGCTTACCATGTGGTTGCAGCGTTTCGAAGAGGAAAGTTCAAGTCCATTTTTTTCCACAGTGCCAAGTTATGCCGACTAGAAAAACTAGGAATCGGAAGATAAACCCTCACTCAACAACTTGAGGCTACTGAGTTTTGGATCTACGATTGATATTCTTTACTGTAATAAGAAAGAGAGGACCTATACTCAAGGGTGTAATTCCCTGTGAATCGCATCCCATTCTTTTTTTTTTTTTTCACTTTCTTGCACCTGACCAAAAAGTACACCTTGTTATTCCTCATAAATATAACTAATCATTAAGTACATCGCACCCCTGCGCCCCTCTCGCTATTTCTCCAAAAACTGCGTTTGAAGTGGACGGTCTCTTATTTGCGAAATTCCATGCTGTGTTTGTTTGCTGGCGTGAATTCGGTAACATAGCCTTTCAGTATCATAGAGACTTTGACAGATTTAACTAATAATTGTTAATTCCTGACTTAACCTGAGCAGCAATGAGCAAAAGAAGGCATTTTGGCAGTATCAGGAATACCCCAGGCAAGACAGCCCCGAAAAAAGGATGAAACGAATCAGCGGAAAACAACGTCGACAAAAGAGAAGCTTGAAGGAGTATGTTTTCCAGTAAAAGCACCTCTTCTAGTACCATGCGACCCGGAGAATTATAAAGAGAATAAACTTCAGCATTGGTCGAATATGTTGCCCTGAATTGGGAAGGATCACACATAAAAGGCTAACAATTTCTTATAGTGAAAGTTTCAAAGGGATACTTGTGCTAAGCTGATTGTGAATGCCACTTCTATTGCCTTTTTTTTTTTAATTTCCATGGCTGCTCCCTTTTGCCCTCTCTCCAGTGCTATGTTTTTTTTAAAAGTTCCTCTCGCTTTCTGAGATTAAAGTTTGGGAGAGTTACAAGATTTGGTGAATACATCGATAATGCGAAGAATCGAAGGGCAAAATTGAAACACCTCAGCTACTCACAAATATGTAACAACTCAGCGGCATTCAGCTAAGCGGCCTCCAGTTTTAAAATGTTGGACCAGAAAACTACGAGCTTATGAAATACCATCGGTCTTCTAGTCTATGTAGTCTAACCCTCCTAGCATTTTTTTTTTTTCAACGATCTTTGCGGGAAGGGAAAATCCATCCAAGACAACAAATGGTTTCACGCCTCTGCGAATGAATGGTTTTAAATATCTGGTACCAAATGCCAAGATAACTGTTGTCACGTTAAACTCGGAATAACATAACTTAACTCTTACTGTTAAAAATGCAAAATGTAAGCAAATAGCGTGAACAACCGCTTGATGGTGGTTTAATTGATGAAAACAATCTGCATTCAGTCGCTGAAATGAACCTTTCGGGTTAGCCTTGTGTAGGTGGTTAGAAGTGTCTACAGCAGCCGTTCTCCCTTTAATCTCCCTCTATGGAAGCTAATGAAAGTTTCTTTTCAAGCTCTTTTAAATTCACTAAAAAAGTATTGATGCTGATATTAACATAAATGCCAGGAATTCATATCAACCTCTATCGCGGAAGGTCACATGGAAATGAGTTCGAAGCGACATTTGCCTTAGATGGCACCGCGGTCGTAAGCCCTCACCTCCAGCATCTTATCTTTACTATTTAGAAAGTGACCATAAAAGAACCCGTGCATCTCTCACAAAGAGTAGGGAACGTAGCTACAATTTTTTTATTTTAGCTTTGATTCCGAAATTGGTGGCCTCCGCAAAAATTTCCCTCAAAAATTGAAAACTGCTCGGTGCCGTCTGACCAAAGTCCCCCCAAAGTGTCGTAAAGCATCATAAGCTAATGAATATGACGTTATAGAAATCTTTCATTATAATCACATATGCTTTTCCACAGGATTACAGCCTTTATCCATGATTCATCCAACCCAACTCGAAATGTGTCATTAGAGACCTAAGTAGCAAGAAATTACACAATGAGACTGTAATAGTATTCATAGTTAGAGACGCTGAAAAATCGGATGGTAAGACATAACTGATCCAGAAACACTTTTCCTCTCTCTTGAAGTCTTGAGGTTTCTAAAAAAAGGGGGATAATTTTGGGAATTTCCCTTGATTTTAATGTAGGGATTTTTTTTCTCTTTTTTTAACTTTTTTTGATTGATGCATCTAGATAAAACGATCTAAACACGGTCGGCGGTTTTTTAGATAGATCTGCGCGCGTATTTGTTAAATTATTTGTAGTAGCAAAAATGGTTTGCGTAACTTTTGCGATATGGACGCGAAAAAAGCACTGCGTTGCTTAACGACTGAGTGCATGATTCCACCTCCGAAATCAAACCTGCTGCAATCTGAAGAGGAACAGTAAGTACCATCAGTCAATGCTTTCCTTTCCTGCAATCATCCACGCAAACTGCGACCGTGACTCGTGAAAACACACCACGTTCAGGAGTTACAATACAACGATTTGAACTAGCTTTGAATGAGACAAAAAAGGCCGACATTGATCAACTCTTTCGCTAAGATTCTCTTGAGAAAAAAAACCTTCCAATCACTCTACCTGATCGACGCTCTGACCGGCTATCTTCAGAGCGCTAAAGATCAAAATTTAACTCTTTGCAGTTAAACGATTCTCACACGTAATACAGTGTTAACAACTGAGTTGAAAACGTAAATTAGCCACCGTAAAGAGTTTAAAGGCTGACGTTTTGAGCATTAGCCCTTCGTCAGAGCGATTGATTCTCACACGCGTCGACTAAAAGTTTGCCGAGTTAAGAAATGGTGGGGGTCGCACGAAAATCGTTATTTGAATCTTATTCTATCTACTCCTGAATCAAGTGCGCCAATCTACCGAAAGAATCAGTGTTATTCCTCGCTGCCTCAAAAGAATTTCTTGAGTTGCGATCAATTAAACTCAAGTATTTTCCATTGTCTGCTTGCAATACAAGCATCTATTTGATCTTATACTATAAACTGGCTAAAAATACATGTATCAGGATATATCTTGGCAGCTTCGATGTAATTGACATTTGCACGTCTTACTCTCGACAAATACTTCCCATTGTCTGCTGTAAGCATCAGCTTGCCATCGGACTTCGTGGCTACAAATCTTGTGGTACTATCCTTCTGACTTTTTGCCATCTCAATTTAATCAATTCCCGATCGGTGTTTACGACTGAGATACTTGCCATTGTAACCTTTGAAGGCTACAACAACTGGCCAGAATCCATTCAGGCTAAGAGTGACATCTAAGATAATATATGGGGCAAAAGAAAGAATATTTTCAAAAACCTTGTTTTGAAGTAAGTTACAGTGAACTTACATTCATGGGGCGTAGCGAGGGGTACGCTCAAGACGAAAGCAAGCCAAAGAGCGAGAGAATAGAGCAGGACAATCCTCTCATGAAAACAAGGTTTGCAAATCTGCAAAATTTAACGTTTCTTTTTGTCCTTTTATTTTTTAACTGATAAATTAAAATTTACTAGAGCTTTTCTCACTTTGCTCGCAGAATTTTCCACTGAAACCCGCTACACAGACGCACATGAAATCATTACTGCACACTCGGTGCACTGGTTGCCAGGTCCCTCCGTTCCTGCACGGGTTATTAAGACAGGAAAGCTACATAGAGTTAAATGCACTTTATGTAAATTACTCATTTACCTCGGAATAAGTGATAAAAAAGCAACTTTCCTATCAAGTTCATCTAAAGGAAGCATTGAATCCAAATTAAAGTTGTCAGATTTCATTGTTTAATCCAAAGCCCTTTCGCTTTAAGTCTTAAATGTCTATTGCTTTGATAAATCCAGTATCCTTCTGAAAAACTCGACGTCATTGAGAAGACCTAAAGGTCAATCTCAGTCAGGATGGAACGGAAAAAACCATCTTAAAAATATCAACACTCCCAGCCAAACTGTAAGGGCCGATATTAACTCGTTCGAGCCGATATTAAGAGAAGCCTCAGTGGCTGAATACCATATACTTTATACTCTGCCTTTGTATCCCTACAACGTGCTGAAGGGATGTAGCGTCATGCGCTGAACATCAATTTGAAAGCTTTTACGGTGGCCCCCTGGGCATAGCGAAAAAAACCCGCAATTCTGTAGGATAGAATAATGCAATCTTAATGCCTTAATGAGTTATTTGGATTAAATACGTTGGTGCAGGTGTTTAAACTTTCGCATCGAAATACCGACCATTAATCTTAAGATGTTAATGTTTCTTCAACTGCAACGGGTGAGAATTTCCAAAGCCGAAAATGACAAATATTTTCTGTTGCATCATCATGATTGCATCATAATCATTTGACCGCAAGGACAGTATTTTATCCTCTTGCTTAATATTTAATAGTGAAAATCTTCGGGTAGCTAATGTCTCTGTAGGTCCGTATCTTTTATGACAAAACGTTTTTTATTGTTCCGATTGGCATAAGACACAATTTCACAAGAAAGGTCCGTACTTCACCTTGATGCAAAAGTCTAACAATTATCTGAAGTGTGGAAATGGCCCATTGAACTTGCTGAGTTTTTCTAAAAATTCCCAATGAGGATCCAGCCGGCTCGTCAAGGTTATTACTAAAGTTCTTAGCCTCTTTTTTCTCTCCTTTTTAATTCACTTCCGAACCATTAGGCTGACAATTTGCGTTACACAAATCCGTTGGCCTCCAAAATCCAGTTATGGACGGAAAATGTTATTACCTTCTTATTCATTTACATTTTCCGATTTGAAAAATATAGGAAAGTAAGAAGATGGGTTTCCTATCATATTTGAAAATCAAAAATTTTCTGATGCCTTCCTTCAAAAGTACGTATACATGATCAAAATGCGGTGCTATGCTTCACTTTTGGCCAGAAATTCTTCTTAAGTAGGTTGGAATTTTTGTGTTAGTCTACATCGACGATGCGATGCGTATATAGTTACAGAAATAAAAGAGGAGAGGTCACTTATTTAATGTATCCTACGTGTTTAATGACATAAGACAAGTGATAATTTATAACTTCTTGCGTAAAAGCAAGAAAGGCTAACCGACCAAAGATATCTTCAGTAAGACACATGTCATTTCATGCTACGACTTTGTCGTGAAACAGCCAATTTTTGCTAAGGTGTAGTCAATATAAATTGCTCCAGAGAGTTGATTGCTCATCTAGAGCAGATCCTTGAGTTAAATGGTTACAGAACTTACAAAGTGAAACAAACTTTTGTAGGGCTAAAAATACGGCTACAGAAAATGAAAAGTGAGCACCGCTAACGTTCTTGAAGACATGTATTTATTTTGAATAAGTGGTATCTTTCTTAAAAGTCACATAAGTGCATTAGCTCTTATTCTCACCTAAAAGAAGGGCGAACAAAGTCAGAGTGTTTCTAACAATCGCTGTATGAGTAAAAAAACGTGATCAGTTGGTAACGTAAACTGGCAGATTGATCTGCTGCGGCTAGAATTTACATGAACGTCTCACAACTATCGACACCAATATTATTGGGGGCTCGTCTCTGTCACAACAAAATACGTCAAAACTCGAACACGGAGTTATTTGATGACAGCTTTAATTTATTAAAAAAACAGGTCATACCTGTATCAAGCAAATTTAGACCGCTGTAGCTTACTCCTCTTTGTTCTGAACCAATCATATTTTGGTTACTATTTCTTTCCTTTTGATACTCTTTGCATGTGTGATACATTTGTCTACGCCCAATAACCACATATTCTGGTAGAGTATAAGATACTCTACCATTAGAAAACAAAATTCAGTGAAGAAAGCAACTCTTCTACAATGGTAGCTTATCTTTGTCGTCAATGATGGTAAATGTGGAGAGGTTCGACTGCCTGCTGGATCCAGAACAGTGTACACCGAAGTGGATTAAACGTAGTCTTGCGTTATTTTAAATAGCTAACCTGTAGAGATTTCAGGCTCTCTTCGTTAGCTTTCTTAAGTAGCTCTAATTATTCCCTCAATGTAGAAGGAAACATGCGAAAAGATAAATTTAGAAGGGATCAGAATGGTAAACCCTTTCATTCCTGAGATGTCATAAATAATTCTCCAAGTTGTTTGCCGCGAGGCCTCGGTACTATATATTTCTTACCGTGATAATTCAGAGAATTTGGTATTGGATCAACTGATAAATATAATCAACTAATTTATATTTGTCCTTATTTCCCTTTTGAGTGCTTGAAATGTTATTGATATTTTAGGGATAAACTCTGTCCTGGCGGATTCCTTACGTCACGGAAAGCAGACGATGAACTTAAAACAATTCAGAATTAATCTTTAAAGATGCCTTAACTGTACAGTGGCTTCGTTAAACAAAAGATACATTCATGCATGACTAGCTCACAACAAATCAGAACAAGTAGACCTTAGATCACAAATTAAATACACACAACAACAACAACAAGCCTTAATACATTTACAATTTTAAATTACATTGTTTTTGTTCATCAGGATTTTGTTTTAATTTTGACTTTGGAAAGTTGGCTATGATCACGTGTGACGAAATTCTTATCTTTAAGTGCTAAGTGTACACGAGTTCTTGAAGGTGACTGAATGAACACTTCTTTAATAACATATGAAGAGCGAAAATATATCTAGATATGCTTGATTAAACAAATAAGAAAAGAGGGTTACATAATATCAAACTACACTCTAAAATTCCTTCGTTTAGGATTTATCTTGTAACTAAAGTCAGGTGAACGAACTATTCGCTGTAGGAACTGAATAGTAATTGTTGAAGTGTCTCTTTCACTGTTTCTTTGACCTCGGTAATCTTCCAACAGTAAACAAAATGGTTTAATGATGATTTAAGATAAACTAAAGTAATTGTACATTGGGCTACGGGAAATACAACTGATGTCATTCCTTTGTTAAACCACAAAGCGCTAACTATACCATAAAGTAAATAGCAACCGACTAAAATCACTTGAATCCGCACTACACCATACAACGCCGTGTTGAATCTTATAAAATATACTTGTGTAGCAAAACACCGAAGTAAGAGAGCAAAGCAAAACTGCTAAATAAGTGTCTTCTAGTGTTAGCGTTCAACTAAGCAGCCCTTGATGCTAAGCAAAAAAATGACATATAACCCGGGTTCTACCCCTATGAATTGTCTGTGTTTTATTATTGCTACCTCAACAATAGAGAGTCAAATCAAATTGCCTATTACATTGAGTATCCCCTGAGCTCGCGTTCGACCACCAAAGCAGCAGGAGGCCTTTTTTATTGCCTTTCTCAACCTGGATGCCGTGTTTTCATTCAAGCTCCCATTTGTATATTGACAACAAATAGCAAGTAAATAAATGACTTTATTTAACCAGGGTAGCCCATTTAGCAAGGAGGCTGGTATCCATAGAGGCCCTGGTCGTTTTAGGGGAGAAGGGAGGAGGGAGGGGGGTCTGAAGATCCCGTACCCTATTACGGCCTAAAGATCCCATATTCCGTTAATTCCTGTAGCTTGTATCCCTACAATTTTGGTACGATATCCATGAATCCATACTATCAATATCCGTAACTCGAAATGTTTTTTTCCTGAAGTATCCCGTATCCCTATAATTATTAACCAAATATCCCGTATCACGATAACCCCAATTAGGATCTCAATATGTGAAGTGGACAGATAAATTCTATTCTGTTACACACTCTAATAATTACTTGACTTTTTTATATATGTGCCGCCTGGTTAGCTCAGGTTGTAGAGCGCAACACTGGCGTGCGGAACGTTCGAGCCCCAGATCGTACCAATACTCAGAGTCTAAAAATAAACATGCTCTCATAAAGCTTTGTCTTCTGCAACTGGTTAGACGTTCTATAATCTTGTCGGATAAGGATGACAAACTGTAGGTCCTAGCTCGTGCATTTTTACTGTACAGGTTAGCTGGGACGTTAAAAACCCAAAGAGTAGGGAACGTAGCTCCCGATTTCGTAGTGAAGGCTTGTCTCAAAAACTTTAAAAAATTGTAAAGCGCACAAGGGACAATGCGCTCTTTAAGTAAAGGTAATCACATGATTTCAAGTGCAATTTGGAATAAATAAGCACGGGTAAATTTTTTCAAAGACCAACAAAATTTCACGAGCTTGTAGAGCGAGTGCAATTTGTGGTCTTGGAAAAAATTTACAAGTGCTTATTTAGTCTAAATTGCACCAGAAAATCATATGATTACGTATTAAAAATATAAATGAAAAATTCGAGATAGCTTATCACAATTATGCAGAAGCAAAGGGCGTGCATCAAGTGCAAAAAATAATCTATTCAAACTCTGCGAGTAAATTGTGCGTTCGGTCAAAACAACCGCGTTCGATCAAAACATTAATATACAATAATATTTTCACATCTTTAAGGCGCAAAAAAGTTCAAATTCTGGCTCAGCAGTTCAAGGAATTGTTCAGTCTGCTTTGTTACTTCCTTGCACTGAATTAACCCACTTCTGCATTGATTTACCTGAAAACTATATTTATCTTAACCTATCTGAACTGAGTAATTTTTTCATGTATCTTATTTAGTTTATAAATGCATCAGAATCATTAAGAATTGATGTCTCAGCTATTTCTTCTCTATTTTAGTAGAAAAAAGTTTAAAGCAGACGAGCTTAAAATGAATAACCTAACATCACAATTGCTCCACAATGTTTTCAAGAGTTTTCCCAAAGGGCTGACAAGGAGTTCAACAAACACTGAAGAACTTCTTTCGTTAGCGGTAGTTTCCTTTACTCTAGTGACCTGAATGTTTGATTTAAAGGTTTTAGTGGATCAAAAAAGAGATTCTAGTCACTCTAAAGAAATTCTGTGTTACGAGATCTTTCATCACGACCTTGGGAAATGAAAGGAAAGTAGAGTACGGACTGAGTCTCATCCAACGTTCAGTTTAGCATTTGTTTAGGTAAGGTAACAATCATCTTGTACTTTGCTGCTCTGGAACCTACCAGTACACTTCTCCGACAGAAAATGCTTGCAACTAAATGTGCGCACACAATAATGAATGAATATAGTGGAGATAGTGGAGATAAAGATAGAATAGACGAACCAGGGAACCTCTTTTGTTTTTTTGCTGCGACTAAATTTTTTTAACGAACGTACACTTCAAGAGCTAACTAAAGAAGATTGTCGAAAGGAAGCAGGTGGCGCGTAATATAGAACATATCGGTTAACTTCTTCGCATCAGCCGATAACATTTTGTTAGAAAATAAATTATTTCACAGTTTTTAATACAGAAAGAATTATTTTCTCGATATTAACTTAGGAGCCGTTGCAGCAAGTGACAATTTTTATCTTTAGAACAAGAAGTAAAATTCTTTGTTTCGGGCGATGCTGTGTCGTGCACATCCGTCAATCAACTGGAGTTGACTGATAGCACGCGAGTTAAAATGATTGATAGTACTATGCTTTATCGCAAAATAAAATTCACAAGTTACCTGAGTCTGTGTTCCAATACCTTGCACTAAAGCAATAATTAATGGACACTTCGAAAGTTCTTGGCAGACACAAAACCTACATTATTTTATGAAAATTCTTCAGGCAGATAAGCAACTAACAGCAAAAATTCTGCCTGATTGTTTCCTTCACAGCCTGTCGCACATCCCTTAACTTCCAACAATAAAGAAATGGGTTTAGTGTCGAGTTTAAGAAAACCAGAGTTAGTGAAAAATATTTGCTCAAGACGACAGATGGAGATAGCTTCTCATCCTTTAGGAAGAAGGTTGCCCACACCACGTACGGTATATAGCAAACTGTTAAAGTCAACTGCACCCAAATTATACCAGACAGGGTCTTCCGATACTTAACTACGTTCTGTGGGATTGTTAAGCTCGATTGACGAGCAGTTTGTTCCACTTGAGTTCGATGATGTCGGAGTGCAAGGAATATTTTCGAGTAAAAGGTGCCCGAAAGTACCAGACATAATAATGCGGTTGTGGAGCTGGCCCATAATGTCAAGACTGAATTCCAAAAGTAGGTTGCTCCGACGAAAAAGGACACGAGACAAAATATAGTTACAATAAGATATGTTCTTTTCAGCGTTACAACTTGTCTGTATCTCAAGCCCAAAAGCAACGCGAGAAGCCTGTCCGTGGTTATTGCAGTCAACGTCAACAAAGATACTCCGCTTAACGTGTACCCAGCTACAGTTATAGCAGCAGAAGCATATTGACAAGTGTCCCAGTGTTCATTCACTGCAGATAACAAGTAGGTCACAAAGAGAGGCTGCGCTATCATACCAACACAAAGATCTGTTATTGCCAGACAACGTAATAGGACTTTAGATGGCGGATGAAAGCAAAATACCTTTTGAAGAGAAACCAAGATCATGCTATTCCCTAGAAGAGCCGAAACGGATAAAAATATGTTGACCACCGAAAAACACGTTAACTGGAAGTGTATCGAGCCAGAAACATCTACAGAGCAGTACCGATTTTCATACCATGGTCTATCTTTTTCGGCTGTGAAATTTTTGATCGCCATTCTTTTGAGTTAAACAACGAATGCTGTTTTGGTTGGCCTAATGAAAAATACGCATGCAGTTTCATTCAAAACCCCTATTCAACCTTATTTACATGTCTAATTTTACTTGATCAATTTTCTGTCAAACATCTGTCAAACTTAAACGAAATCATGACGTTGAATTGAATGTGGATGAAAAGTGAAACGTGAACCTAAGTTTCTTTGAGCGCCACTTCATTTTCTATGATTACCATTGAATTAGGTATACGTTACAACTGGGGCGTAGCTGTAAGGTTTTTTAATTTCTCGAACTTAACCTATTTAAATCTCAAGGTAAATTAACATTTTAAGTTTCATAAATTTTTATTTTGGCTCAATTTAGTGTTAACATAATCCTTTTTTTAAGGGCTACCCCATACCTTTCTTCGTCCCAGGGGTTAATGAAAAGAGTATTCAAGATAATAACAAAACGGGTATGTAACAGACCAACGGACGACGTCATTTGTTCTAAAAGTTTTCTATTAAAATGGAAGAGAAGCGCTTCACCTCAAGACATCTTTCAATAATTAATAAGTTTCTAGCGATAATAATTTGCATAGTTTTGGCGAAAGTTTCAAAATTGAGTGATCGATTATTTGCCAAAACTGACATTAGAGAACAGGAAATTGAGAAAACAAAAATACATTTTCTATGAAATTTATTTTCAGTCAGGATGAGGGAGAATTGTTAAAGGGGCAATATATATAGAAACAAACTGGGCTAAATATTAAGGTTCACTGTCAACTCGTCCACACAGCAGGTAAATGTGCGTCTTTAATTTATAGAACAAAGGAAGACACACCATGATAGGCCAAACTTTTGTTTTGTTGAGCGTTTAGATAACACACTGAGCGTGTTTTGCAAATAACACTTAGAGTGCGATGAGGAGCAGGTGTCGTTCTAGGTTATGTTATGGCTATTCTTATCCTTTTCAGACCGAGATTGCATGTTTAAAAGAGATTTGAGCATTAAGGAATTTCTAACGTTACTTTCAACAATTGAAGTAAACTTTGTTAATTAGACGCATTTTGGGTGTAGGCAAGCGCTTGTAGAGGTAAAATCTACACACGATCTTCATACCTTTTCCACATTTATTTTCAGTAAAAGGCATCTGAAGAGCATTTGAAAAGCGCCTGAAATGTTATCCCTTCCAAATAGCGCTTCTATATCACGCTTTTTAACTCGATTTTTAAGCATACGTGTGAACAAAATCGAGCTCACACATGTGCTGTATAGTCTCGACGGAGATTTATGACTAAACTTAAAGAACCCCGAATTTTGATTAATTTAGGGGCGCCTACGTAATTGTGTAAATAAAGTTCAACATAAGATAAGTGGGAGGTAAGAATTCTTGTCATCGAATGAATAGAAATGACAGAAAATGGAATAAAGTTAATTTATTACAGAGAAACTTAATTTTAAAAGCTAATCGCTTTGGGGTTGAAACATATAAATATAATGATATAAGAAAAACCATCATGAGATACTTACATATACTTATTTGTCACCAGGAATTATGATTTTCAGAATAAATGTACAAACAAACTTCTGTTTACATGAATAGTGATCTTGGCAGTAATGAACGCTACTTAAGCGCAAGCGAAAATAAAGCCTGAGAAAAATTCAGGCCTGTATGGGATTTGAACCCATGACCTCTGCGATACCGGTGCAGTGCTCTATCAACTAAGCTAACAAGCCAACTGAGAGCTGTTGATCGCTAAGAAGATAGATGCGCAAATCAAGTGATCCATTGAAGAATATATGTGTATTCATTTCCTTATTTTATTGGCAGATTTAAACTGCCTAAGATGATATATCAAGGGACAAAATGTTATGAAGTTTAATGGATAGTTTGGCTAAACATCAGATCTCAGTAACAGGTGATGACTCTCTATAATTGGTAGTGAGAGACAATTGTTAAAGAAAGTTGATTCACATGGCAATTATAAGAGATTTTACTTGTTAAATTTTGTGCCATTGTCTCTGCGATGGAAGTATCCTCAATTTATCAAAAGCTGACTTGTCGTTCATTAGAGATTTTTTAAAAGGCTGGACTAAAGGACGTTATCATTATGAGAGGACAACTTGAACTGGGATGCTTTCATAATGCACTGTTTTCTCGTGAGAACTAAAATATCTATTGATGAGGACGGCATAGCTTTCAATTACAAGTTTATTAGTTAACTCAAGACTAGATCAGCCTACGGGAGCCAACACTGTTAACGCATAACTATGAAATAGTATTTAGTGAGGGAACTCCGAATCGGCTAAACGGGAACAGTTTTTCTTTTTGTTGCGATAACACTTTTCATACAACGTCAGAGCTAACTGAAGCAAAAAAATTGTCTGCTTGAAATTAGCGTGGACTCATCCACTGGATAGCAATGTATACGTTGGGTAACGTTATTCGCTCTTTGAACAACTGGACCCAGGTCTAAAGGAAATAAATCTCGACAAGTCCAATTGGTAGTAATATTCAGTTGAGAAATAAAATCTTCAAACTGCATGGAGAGAATGAATTTACATATTTTAAAAACCCAAAGAATCAAACACTCCTTACAACATTACAATATGTAATAAATATTTGGTCTTAGTACTCATTTTTGCAAACGTGACCACTGTAAAAGGGGAGCCATGTTAATCTGTTTCGTGAAATATTCTTATGATACTTCTTGAAAAATTCTGATAATTTAATTGCACAAGTCCTTTTCATCATCATTTTATGACGTTAGGTGCTTCAATAAATCAAGTCACGGGCACTTAAAACTGCCTGAAACCACGTGTGAACAGTTTTACCTCTGGTAATCACTTGGTACGGTAATAATGATATTCGCCGCGAGGCCTCTTGAAATAAGCAGCGACTTTTCTATATTGTAAGAGCTTACAATGTCCGAGACCGAAAGGTGTTTAAAGCGTGGCACCCCATGAAAAAGGCTCACACACTTCAAATATAAAACTCAGGGTTCTCTTTTTCAGCATCGGTAGCGAAAACAGCTGCTATTCCACTCTTTTATGGTCTAAGTTCAAATGCTTTTCTCCTACACCATATCAGTTTTGTCTTCACATTCAAATTTTGTTTGCGTAGAACCAAGAATAGCAATGGAGTGCTTCCTGCCGAGTGACTTTGTAAACTGGGCCTCCATTCTGACAGTAATTTCCTGGAATACTTCGGGAGACTCGCCATGTTCTTCTAAGGTGCACCGCACCAGCGCTTTCAAAAGATCAAAACAGTGGATCAACTCCCCAGCACGTATGGGAATATTGAACTCACGCAAACGAGATTCATTTGGTTTAGGATGTCTGAAAGGTTTGTCCAACTCATTAACGAAGTCCGACAGCTGGCTTAAAGGGATGAATTGTTTTCCATTTGGCACAAATGCAGCCCACTTAAGATAGTACCTCTCAAAGTCCTCTTTAGTGATAGCAAAATCGTCGTTCTCATGTGCACGGTTGACGTTCTCGAGAATAACAGCAATGTACATGTTAACAATTATCATGAATACGACGACAATATAGCTGATGAGATATGCTGCGGCTCCTAAAGGCGTGCCGCAGTCGCCATTGGGATATCCTTCATAGTAAGGGTCGCAGTCTGGTGGCTGAATTGATAGTGAATTCATGACGTCATTCCAGCCTGATCCCGTGGACAGTCGGAACAAGAGCATCAAAGAACTACCAAACGTTTCAAAATTGACAATATCGTCCAAGGTTCCTTCCTTCTTTACGCGACCAAATGCGGACATTCCAATGATGGCGTAAATAAAAATGACGAGAAACAATAAAGTTCCAATGTTGAATAATGCAGGTAACGAAATCATTAGAGCTACCAGAAGCTGGCGAATTCCTTTAGCAAATTCTAGGACCCGCAGCAGCCGAGCGATTCTGAAGATTCGCATCACACGCAAGAGACTTGGATTAACCACTGTGTCTCTGACGCTGACTTCATCTAAAACCACTCCTGTGACACGAGATATGCCTTATCGTTATTGGATGATATGTACAAAGTAATTATAGTTGTCTTGACGATAAATTCTTTTCAAAGGGCTTAACTTTTTTAACTCTCACTTGAAGTCTCTTCACTGAGAAGTAAAAGGACTTCATACCCTTGCTGGGTATTCAAACAATCAGGTTTTGTGTCTGAGATAAGCACTACCATTTTTATTATTGGAGAAGAAAAACTTTGAGTAAAACAAGGACAGGTATGAAAACCTCCTAAAAAAGTCTTCCTCAGTCTTGACAGGGAAGAGGGACATCTTGTTCCCCTCCCCAGTCAAGAGTGGGCCAAAAAGCCGACCAACAGTCATTGGAAGGAAATAATAAGCATTTTAGCCGTCAATAAGCTTAAAAAACAAGCTCCCTTGCTCCCACCACCCCTCGCTCCTCTCTAATAAGTCCTCCTGCTACGTCGGGAAGCACAGGAATCCTTACCGATTAGAGATGATATGACGATGACGAAATCAAAAACATTCCACGCCTTCCTGAAGTAGTGCTGTCGCAAAGCAATTAGTTTCACCATGGCCTCTGCAGTGAATATACCAGTGAACACCAAATTTGATATCCGTGCTAGCCAGAGGCTGTAGTCAAAGAAACTATACACAAAGTAATTTTGTTGATCGATACATCCTAAGTCAATTGTTTCGGATATAAAAAAAAAATGTAAAACTTTACTATATTCATATTGTCCAATAATTTTGATTTTATTTTTCTTTATTTATCTTTCTTTTTCTTTATTTGTTTCCCTACTTATTTGTTTCTTCGTTTCCTTCTTTGACTTTTTTTCATAGACCCGGTAAATTTGATCAACGTCACTTAGCTAACCCCTCAGTTTGCTGTGGGTTTGTTTCCTTGTCATCCATTTAGAATCCTCTCTAAATGAATATTTTAAAATTAGCCTTTCATTATACGAGGTTGTAAATACAAAGGATATTTAAGACGCTAGAGAATTCCACGGACTGTCCATGATGTTGTATCATCATCATCACCATATTGCATATTATC